TTCTTTCCTATTTTTCTAAGGCACTTATTAAGTGCACTCGTAGCAACTCATTTATGTCTGCATTCAAATTTCCAGAGAGATAATCGTCACAAATTGATAAACGTATTGATGATTCAGACCAGAGAGGTAGTTATTTATTTATCACAGAAAGAAAATAAGAAATGATACACAATGTTTTGAATACTGAGAGCTTACTCTTCGGACTAATATTTTTTGACTGTTTTGAGTTTGAAGTTTTTGATTTAGTTTGAAGACTAAGCTCTCCGAGTTTAAGCCGATTTTCATCTCCATGCTTAGCTACGGTCAGGAGTCGTGGACTATAACTGAAAAACTGCGATCCCGGGTACAAGCGTCTGAAATGAGCTTTCTGGGACGAGTCGCTGGCCTTGTCGAGTTAGTCTGGAATACAAACGCCCGAGAGATCCTTAGTGTATAGCCGCTTCATCTTCAGATCGAGAAGTCACAGCAGCGCCGGTTTGGGTATGAGTCGGGAATGCCTACAGAAAGGGAAGAATCTGATGCAAATCTATGGAAAGAGTTTGCTGTAGACTCCAGTTGTCTTCTGCCGAAGCTCAGACTCTGGCAGAGGATCGGGAACGTTGGAAGCTCTGTCTGACGCGCCTGTCTCTGCGCTCGGAAAGGAGAAGCGGTCATCGAAGGTGATGACGAAAGTATTTTCAGTTTGTCACTACTCCGCGGCAATTCTCAACGATAAGTTCGTGTAAATGGTACCGTGGATCAGCCACATCTACTCATTTATTTATTTGTTGGTATTTATACGTTGGTAAAAAGCGTATATGCAATACATGTCGTACAAGTCAGCTTTGGGTAATGCTTCGAAACGAGTATAACAGAGGGGTCCTGAGAAGGCAACAAACGGCAATGACTGACCATCCATTTCTTTTAAAGGGGTTGCTCATTCGCTAGAGGGTCGGACTCAGGATCGAGAGGTCCCGGTTCGACCCCTGTCCTGTCCGGTCATTCGTCGCTTCTCCTTCTGATATTGATAGATGAACAGTCTGTGGGAAGAAAATATGAGGCTACACACTGCTTACCACATGGACGCTGTCTGCCCTGCCTTTAAAATAAGGCACCGGGGGCTGATGGCATGGAAATCGATGCCAGAGCCACAGTAGCTTCGCGGAAAGATGGGCGCCGCCAGACTCGCCCCATCGTGCAAATGAAAGTAAGACCTACGTACGCTTTTGTTTTAACGTCTATTGATAACGAAGTAGGCAAGTATTGATTGCTAGAAAGCAACAGAAGATCCTTGTGCATCAATCACAGAACATTTACATGCCGCGTATTCGTCCTTGAGTTAATATTATGCATTAAGATAATTAATTATAAATTAAATCTTCTTCCAGCTATTCTGTGTTGCATGCATCGTCCGTAGCCTGTGTTTCGCACAGGTTAAACACATAAGCAGTAGTTTGTAGTTTACTTACCAGTGATTCGAAATCCTTGCTTTTTTCGATCTGCATGACTGGAGGAGGGCCGATGTTCTCTGATTCGGAGTCAGAAGAACTGAGTGACTCGTCATCGGTCTAAAATAACAGTTCCTGTAGCTGTGAAGGTAGCGTTCCTTCGCTTGTTACGCTTTCTGTGGCTTTGACATCGGCGGCGACTGCATTAATTTCCGTGGCAGGCACCTCTGAGCTGTTTTCGTCGGCATTCACCTCTTTGATTACCTCTTTTTTCGAGGTCACCTTCGCCGCATCTGAAAAGAGCACGGTTACGTCTCATACGCCTCACAGAAAATGCTGCATGTTGTTGAAACGTACCTTGTTTCTTCGGCGCCGCGTCGCGGTCGAGTTTCATTTTGCGGTTGGCGCTCGTGTCGCTACTTTTCAGAACTTTGGCCATTCTGTAAAGCAAAACCCGTTTAAAGTAAAAAAAACAGTCACCAAAAATGTACATCGACTTAAAGGATGGCATTGCCGCCCCAAGGCGCCGAAGAACGGGACAAGATTGCTGGAACGGTCACCCGTCGTCGTCGCGTCGGTCGGTGCGGCCGTCCACGCGCAATGACCACTGCATACCCCGCCCACCACTAGTTGGTTGGTCAGCGACGTTCGTGCCATGCGAGACCGCCCGACATGAGGTGACAAACGCGCAACGGTCATTAATGGGTCATCCGTGTTGTGACCGTCGGCACGTTCGTTTCGTCCCCTACCTGGTGTACATCGAGAATGCAGGCTTGAGCACCTACGCTCGCGACATGTGGCCACTCTTCACTTCGTTTTAAACTAGCTTTTAGTCAACTGCCAACAGTGCATCGCTGAGGAAGGCGACTGACGTCGCCTGTCATCAGTAGGATGGATCGGAATTCTCAACTCGATCACAACTGATACAAAAATTACAGATTAAAGAGTTTCTCTTCTCTGCTTCAAATACGCTTGCTCCATGACTTGCTGGTATATCTCATGAATTCGTAACTAGACGCAGAACAAATTTTTTTAAGGTAATGCTCTTGGGCGGGAGGAAAATGAGGAACAACCGATAGATCATACAAGGCATCGAAAATTAAGTGTCTCGCATGTATGTGACTTTCGTCCATCTCCATATATAATAACGCTGGTCATTTGTCTATCACCGTTAAAGGATAGTAAGACTCCAAATCATACGATGCTATTGCCAGTCTGCGAATGTTTGTACAGCTGATGAATCAAGGAAAACTTCGCTGGTTTATGCGTTGTAGTTTCATGTGTACAAAACGTTTTGCGATAAAAAGATCAATGGCTGACTTGAAGCATGCTTCGCGTCTCCGGTCAAAGCATAGATTGCAGATTAAGCCTTTTTCTACGATCCGCGAGCTGAGAAGGAGTCATCTATCAAACGTTGACCTTAAAATTTCATCAATAATAATCAATTACTCGGTCAGTTTTTCTATCTGTGACATTATGAACGACCCCCCTCCCCCGAACAGTTGAACAGCAGAGATTCACATACAGATACACATAACTTTCAAGGGATTTTTCAATGATCTCGTAGCAGTGAGGAATCGCTGTGGGCCAGAGCACCATGGATACGATTGTGATTCTTATCAATTGCACATATCGGAATAGGGACAGAGGTAATGCCATCGTTTGTTCCGCATTTATGGACTTCAAGTCAGCGTGTGAGAAAGTGCTCATCTCAGTCTAAACTCACAGTACCTCAAGGACCGTACGTTCTCGAGATTTTGCCTGTGCTGTTCACCAGCAAATTCCGTATCAACTCGTCTGTAGTCTGCTGTGCCTATGCTGACGATGCTCTGGAAGGTGAGCATTTTTGGACAGTGTGGAACCGATGTCTGACTGCGATGATCTCTGATCGCCTGATCTTAAATGCGATCGAATCAGTAGCTTTATCGTTCCATTCCTCCCAACTCGGAAGCGAAGTTTTGCGGGAGTCAAAACATGACCATACAGAATGTGTTTCAGCCAATCTGACAGTCGATAAACATCTGAACTGGGAATGCTTTATATCTGTGACGGTTTTCAAGTCTTCCAGCTAATCCGATTAATTGGAAGGCTTTCAAGACTTGGTGCAAAACCAAAATCTACTAAAGCTCATCGCAAAATCTGGCATCCTCCCTCTTCTTTTGTATACAGCTTCAGTGTTTCTTGGGAGTCTACTGGGAAAACAACACTCGAGACTCAGACGTTGTTTAAAACACCTCGCCTATATTATGGAAGCGAACCGGGACAAAACTTTTGTCTTCGTGGTTGAATCAGATTTCAAGGTACCGTTAACAGAACAAAAGCTGGAAACGCATTGCCAGCTGGTGGCCTTTCGATTCAAACCGAAGGTCGTCAGAATGTCACCAGCTACGTTCATGCTTTTGATAAAGAATGAAAAGGACTTAGATTAGCTGTATATTAAGTTATTGAACAGCGGTTTAAGGTTATATATGGATTTACTGTCATGACGTTTGCAGAAACACCCCACTTATAAACTTTGTAGCAAATAGTAAACTTTTCTTTCTTATAATACCTTCCGTTGACCGCTTCGTAAACATACCTAAATCGATTTGAATTGAAATCATCAAGGAAAGTGAGCGATTCCATTTCTGAAGCTCAATGGTAAAAGCAACGTATGTTGCTAATGTTTAACAACGTTTGCTCATAAGCTTGAAACTACGACGAAACAGGGTAAAGGTCCCCTTCCGCTTAAGCTATGCAAAATCCTTATGACCGTTCCATAAAGTGACAGCACAACAAACGAGGTCTTTTGCTTATTGAAATCGTTTAGAATCAACGCAGGCCAACTTGCAGACATTCTCGAAGTCATGAATGCTTGCATGCATACTCAACGCCTTTATCCAAGTAAAGTTTGCTAATCGTCACAGTCACGCATAATCTCTGAACAGCACAACTGAAGAGGAGCTACCTTAGCAGAAAAAAGTTCAGGAGATTAGGACCAAAACGTCAGTACTGGTTTTTCACCCCATAGACTCATATTATGTGTTGTGTTCATTAAAACCCTGTTGCTGCTTTCGGCGCTCCCACATCAGTACTTCTTGTAAAATCGATAAGTTTAGTCAGGCATTTATTGTCCTATCATAAAGTACGCGTTTTAGTAAACATGGTCCAAGAAAGTTTTTCACTGTAGTGAGCTATCAGTATCAAACGATATTTATGTCCACGTCTCATGGACATCTTCCTCTGTGAACAGGTGCTTATGCTCATTCATTTCTAGAACACAGAAATAGATATCTTAGATAAGCGAATATTTCCTGAAGTTCATTTTAATATACCGTCATGAAATTTATGTTATCAACTTCTTCGACAACAGTAGACCTAAAGCGCAGCAGACGAAATAAACAAAATCAGCTATTGCAAAACTGGATAAGTTATTAACCATTATGTTTATTACAATGAGGCATTGTGTGTGCTGTGTTTAATAAAAATGTTTCATTATAAGGTTAACCCGGAATTGAAGAAATAGAAGGTTTTTTCGCTTCATTATTTATTGATGATGTTTGACGACTAAATCTGTTTGGGCTTCCTCTTAAAAAAATGTTATATGCGTAATTTATAGCATACTGTCCCCGAAACCTCGAAAAAGAAATTTCTGATATCGCTGGCTTCACTTTAACTGGCGAAGCAAGGCATGTGATTCTTGAACACTGCAAGGAAACGTTACGTGCATAAAGATCCTGCAAGAATTATCTCTTCAGATGATCTTTATTAATGAAGATTAAATTAAAATAAAGTAAGCATATGCTCGAAGAGGATAACTCTGAAAAGGTCGCTCGTGAAAGTTTGGTATCTGGCAAGAAGGAATAAACTGGGGCTGCATTCCAGCTTATTGTTAATCTCTAAATTATTACCGTTACTGAATCCTCAACTCCGGCGGGTGCTTGTCACTTTTCATCGATGAAAGATCATTGGCAATGTCCGTGGGATACTAACCGAAGAACGAAGCATAAAGGTAAAGTCTGTAGCCGGATATAATTCGGATGGAGTTGGAGCCCTTTAAGCATAAGTGATGGGACCGTTTGTGACGCCCTTCTTTTCGTAAAGCTTAATACGCGGAACTGATCTCAGTTTCTGTGCCGTCAGCCAGGAGTGTCTTCCTTTTAACAGCAATATCTACAGCTTCGAGGAGAGTAGAGAGTGTAGCCTCCTGTATCCTTCACCACAAAGTGGTACTCGTTATCTAGAAGGACAGAAGGAGAATGACTTAAAATGACTTAACCTGGACTAGAATCTGACGCCTCTCGACCCTGAGACTACGCTTACCAAGTAAGCAACTCCCGCAAAGGATACAGACCGAAAATTCGGTATTGCCATTTCATCCGATAAGTCAATACTTTGTTGCATTAGAAATAACGTTCTACTAGTTTTCATCAAGACTGACAATAATAAAATGGGTCAAAATTTTCTCTACAGCTAAAGAATGACGTCATTGCATAATTTCAACAAGTCCTACCTTTCATCACTTTAATAACCCACATAAATAAGCTGTATGACAGTATGTCGGTCGACAGTATGACAGTAGCTGAACTGAATAAGATATTTCAGACCTGCAGATCATGCTTTCTTCATTTATATTTAATTAATCAAATGTCATAAATTTGATACTGAGATTATGACAGGAGCGGAGAAACCCGTCCCGCCATGCCTAAAAACTGTTGTTGAACTGTAGATAAGCAGTATCCTTTGGCTAGTACTGTGATCAAGGCTGTAGGTCTGTTGCTGACCTGCTGGCTCTTAAGTAGCAGCTAATTTGAAGAGAAAACTTTTTTGGGCGCTTCACGTATTGATTAAGAATCTACGTCTTGCAGCGGTACAGATTATACAGATAGCCTCCAGTGATCATAGTTTCCTCATTACCGTAAATGCTCAGATTGGACATAGATATGGAGTAAGTGTTTGCCAAAGAACGCGTCCAACTACTTCTAACTTCCAAAGTCAATACAAAGTGGAAGTGTGATTCAGGGCAATCAGATAATGAACGAACTGAATGTCGATGCTATGACTCAGCAGAGCAGCAGGAATTTTTTTTTGCGTTATCTGTGTTGTACAGTTTTATAATGGGAGCTGTCACACCAGATGTTGGTTGTGTCCAACATAAGTTTTCTGTCTTCCATCGGCACGAAAAGCTGGGAAAGTAATTTATTGCCGTTTACAGATTACAAATTTTTTGAAGAAAATTAATTTCAAACAAGAAATTGAGGTGTAATTTTTTATGGCTGGAAGGGAGGTAGAAAACGCTGTCAGCTATTAAAAGAGCGAAAAAATGAAAATTAAAAATGCAAAGCGTTACCTACCGGAAGTCCGGGTGATAAGGGTAGTAGAAGCTGTCCACAACCGCTATTCGGAAGCTCAGTTTGTACATAGCTTTGCTCATGGCATCTCTGTCTGGTTTGAGAGGGCGATGCACCAGTGGTAAACAGAGACAGTTGGACATTAAAGCCGTCTGTCTGCCACCCCTACATCAACTGCCTCTTGCATAACTCTTGCACAACGTCGGTAGCTAATCGACAGACATCCCTGTCGGTGCAACTTCCAGAACACAGTCTTATCTTGACAAGACCAACACGTAAACTGTGCTCGCTTCGTGACACGCAAGTACTTTCAAAATCTGGCTGAAGAGCGCCATTGGATGCAGCGGGAGATGCTAGCAACGAACCCTCCGCCGGTAAACAAGTATCTTCTTTGGAAACAGGCCAGCTCTGACTAATCAGTGTGGACAGGGGCACATGCATACAGGTGATGCTATACAAGATATTTAGTAAACACCCCGTGGCTTCATATT